GCATTGCACTTGAGCGCCATTCTGGCGCTCGACCACCGAGGTTCTGTTGCTGTAGCATGGCGAATGCCATATCCATCCCGGCATCTCTCACTCAGAGCAGAAGATTATCTCTATCCTTACCCTCGAAGGTCTTAACACTCACCATGAGCGGCCTGGGCAGAGAGGAGGCATTCGTCGTTCACGATGGCGTCATGGACGCAGTCGACGCTGACATCTTTTGAAGGAGGTGCTCTAGCACAGCATTTTCATAGCTCGAAAGCGCCTCCAGGCGCGCGTTTATCGCTTCAAGTCCGGGCAAAGCAAGGTGTTGGATGCCCTCAGGGCCAAGCAGGGACATCAGCGTGCTAGGCCGGTCCCGCACGCCCGAATTGCTCCATCCGCACATAGGATTAGTCGTAACAACTCAGGTGTAGATTAACTACGAGTGCTACCAAGTGCAGCGGGGCTGCCGTAGCTCTTTGCGTGGAGGGAGCTAATCTATGGTCACCAATCTTACGTTCTATACTAGAACCAGTATGAGTCGAGTGGATTGCAATCCGCGACCTCCGAGAGTACCCAAAAGCTTAACCTAAGGCAAAAACTTCTTCTGTTCAAAATCCAAACTATATTTATTTTGTTTTATTTGCAGCAGAGCCGCCTATATCAAAATCTATAGGGTTTCGTTATCAAATAGTAATCCTAATTGATATACTCACGCGTGTGAGAAACCACAGAGCTCGCGGGAACGTGGTGGATGATTTCATGTGTCGCAGGGAGACAATACGAATAAAGCGGCGTTGTACCTTGAGTTTGGCAAACTCAAATCAAAAATGGCGCTCAACGCGCACATCCACTTCCTTGTGGCTCCGCTGTAAGGTAGGCGCGAGGAAAGTTTTTGGTGACGCTGCACCCATCGCTCAAGAGCTCCACATCATCTGCAGCGATTCGCCAGGGGAGCGGTGCCTCTTTGAGCTCGGAGTCGAGCGCGGTACCTATCCATTGGGATTTCTTATGGTACCAAAGAGCGAGCTTGAAAAGCTTTCCGCTGATCAAGCTCAGCTTGTGTATGGTATGAACTTTCCATGAAGCCGCGGACGTATTGTCCGGAGATGCACCCCGTGCAGAAGTCAAAGAAGGGCTTTGCCCGCGGACATCCTCGGAACTAGCTAGGCTGGGTGTTCTGTGTGTTGTAGACACAGTGCTCATTGAGTAGAGAATATTCCAAGATGGTCATAGCGTCTCAGACACGCGAGCCTCGTATGAGCCGACAATTAAATGTGAATTGCGGGAATTCACAATTTCGATGGTGGGGAGTGTGACGAGGCTATACGTATCTTTTATAAAAGGGTGGATCACACAAGATGTTGTGACCGAAGGTGGCTCTGCCGCACCTAAAACAATTGAATATAGTTATTAAGCTAAAAGGGAGAGCGTCTACACTTAAAGTTAAAATATATTTGTACTCTTGGAGGTAACGGATCGCGATCCGTTATACTCGTATTGGTTATGGTATAGAACGTAGGTCGGGGACCTTAGTAAGCTTTCTCTAAGCAAAGAGCTACGACAGCCCGCTACAAATAAGCTGCTCAGTAGCCACAACATTCCTCACTTCTTCTTAAGCATGGCAGAAGGCCATCGCCTCTACCATGCTAATAATGCTTCTAATTCTAGTGTCGTATCTGACCAGCGCAGGACGGAGATTATACATCATATGCGACACCAACTGTCAAATCTTGCGAAATAGGCAGACGTCTCAGCGTGAGCCATACCCGCTCAGAGACCCTCACTCAAGTTGGTATCCGTCACCACCTTCGGATGAGTGTCTGACACTTTTGCGGCGATAAGAGTTCTTGATTCCAGGACATAGTTTGCATTTTATCGCGTTCCTTCACGGGTGAACGAATGCTTTGTTGCGCATTCGATAAGCCTAGTTGAGCGGTGCAAATATCCTCACTTCAAATAGTCCTAATATTGGAAACATCGTTTAACCCGAAATATTGCGCTTTGGTGCCCATCTCACACGCAACCTCCTGGCCTGAATACCGCAAGCGTGATGCGTTATTACTCTGTTTGGAGCAAGGCCAATAATGACCATCTCAATTTTTTTGTTCTGGGGCAAGGATTTTCTCCGACCTGGTTATCAAAGGTCAACATCAGCGATCTCACAGTGGAAACCATCTGTCTGTATGTATCTCATCGGCGAATTTAAATATCTAGTGATTGCCTCCTGCAAGCAATTATAGCCTCCGATTCATTAACCACCGGGACCCGTATTCTCATCTGGACCAAAGATAGACAAAAGTTTGTTTGACTTCCACTCGAGTATTCCCGCAGAATATACAGTCCTTTCACAACTTGGTCGTAAGATTTGCTACGAAGACTATCAAGACAATAGGGCTGCCGTCATCTTTCACAGAGAAAGCTTTGACTCTCAGAATACGAGGTTGGGTATGTGCGCGCTTACTAGGAGCGTAACGACGTGTCTTGTAAGCTCCGCATAGAGTACGAATGTTCGACTGAAACTAAATAAAACGGGATTCACCATTCATGATAGAATTGCTTTAAGTCTCTGGTGTACGGCTAGAAACACACATATATCACGAACCCTGCATTAGGTATTTATAGATATTCACATAACACTTAGGTAAAATCTAAATTTCGTAAAATTAAAGTGTGTTAAATTCAATACAATTTTGCAATCAATGTTTAAGGTACAAGCTCGCAAGATTACTGTGATTACCCTCTTGCACAGCATGTGCTGATTGCTAGGATCCTGCCCATTGATTCGCGTGATTTATCATTTTGCTTCCCACAAACAGATCCAGTGCAGCAACGACCGTAAAAGCAAACAGACATTTGGTGCAAATTGAATTCGCATCTACAATCTCTCTGCTTCTGCTATACGCAGCTATGTTCTGAGGCTACCTTGTGTTCAAAACGCATTAATTGATTTAGTAGAAATGAAAGAAATCGAAGGAGCGTATATGGCGCCTATTTTATTCAATCAAATTTTTCGAGTGAGGAAATACAAATGTTATATAATAAACAAGAATAGAAATAAGAAGATAATAATTCAAAGTACTACAATAGGTTCAAAACTACTTACCAAAAGTTTGACTGATGTAACTTGTCTTCATTATTTCAGTGTCACATCTCTCTCATGATTACCATTTTCATTTTTCGAAACGTCGCATTCAAAGCTTTAGGACTACGGTGAACGCACAAAGCATTGTACCATGGAAGCCAAGATATGTTGAATTGGGGAGTGGATCGAGCTGGAAAGCGAAATACACGGATGTGGACCCAACATTCACTAACCACGCGCAAAGTCATGAAAAATCGTCGATGAAGAACTCTAAGAAATTGCCGTATTATTCATTTATACAAATTTACTAATTTCAAGTCGTAGAATCTTATAGTACAATCGATCCCAATAACTCAGTGTGCAGCGCTGATAGACCAATCACAATTACGTAAATTTACAGCACGAGCATCAAGTTCAAATTCGGCGAATGACTGTGCGTTTTTTAGTCCATCGCCGGTTGCAACGGCCACTCGATAGAAAGCATTGCTGTGCTGCTTTTTGACGATCGGTTGAGGCTCTTGTCGTGAATTTTGCATGCGTTGTCGCTCATGAATCGCTTCCTTCACTGCTCGGATAGAGCGGTTGACCTTTTCTAGGTACGCCAGGTTGGACTTGCAGTCTACGGAGCAGAAGCCTGTATGTTGACTGAGCGTCTTGAGGTAGATGAGGTCACAATTGTTGCACTTTTCACGCTTGTTGTCCCAATTAGCGATGCGCCGAGGCGTGTCCTTTGCGAACAAGTTTGATGAGGAGAGAGTGGAGTCCATTCTGTTTCTTTTCAACAGAGGTTGATGAGATGATAGGCGAATCGAAGAATGAGATAAATCTGGGAGTCAGCTTTGGAGACAAATTGGTCTCGAGTTCATCACAGCGCCCATCTTCTCTTCAGCTTCAGAGCGCATCTCTTGAAGTAAATTGGTACTGTACAAGCTCTTGGCGCAACACTGGGGGCACAGCTGCTAGGCAGACTGCACTATTGTTCGCGATGAGGTTGATCACAGTGAACGGCACGGGAGACGGTTCATAGATGTAAGGAATGATGAATCACAGCGGTGTTCACACGTCACCTAGTCGTAGTAAATGTTCGTGATTAATATCAGAAGGCGACTTGCTTATTAGGGGCGATACTTAAGACGCTATCAAGCACAGCAGAATTTGTTATGATAATGTCGTGTAATTATTGGGCCACTGCGTGAAAGACCTTGTTTATCTTGCCAGCCGCATACAAGCAGTTTCTACTCAAATATCCGTGTCTAATGCTTAACTGCCCGAAATGAAGCCATGATTTGTTCTGACTTTACGCCTACGCCAAGGCTTTTTGACCGCGCGAAGAAAACACTCCTTGCTGATCGCTGCAATGGTGAAGCACAACAATCCTGAAACACGCGAACAAAGAAAGGAGTTGAAGTCAAAAGGAAAGATTCATGGATGGGTTAGAAAAAAGTGTGAAGGCGACATGTTTCAGCGATGTCAAGCTCTTACATCTCAAATTATAAGTACTTACAAGGATAATGAAGCAGCACTACCATAAAATGATGCACTGCCTTCTAACGCCCCCGACTCTTGGGTTAAACTCATTGCACGTACAATCAAAAGTACCGGCACTTCTCTCATGGCATTTATTGTACTCCCACAGAAAGACAGGAATCAGATCTCTATCGTCTAACAGATTATGCGTATTTGCATACTACATACCCAGTAACGTTTTGACACTGCCCCTTTTGTTATTCTGCTTACCACAGTATTTTGGGTCCTAGAATATTCAAGACGATACGTTGGATTAACACACAGCATGAAACAAGCTGGCAATGCGTGGGTTGCCGTGTGTGCCCATCTTTCAGTCTATCAATCTTTAAAACCATTTGACTACAACCGATCAGTCTTGCTGAATACGTTATAGTTTACAAGCAAGATAGTCCGCCACATATAGTGCAGCAAGCATAGCCACTACCAAACAAGCTGTCACGAAGCCCTCATACTTTTGCTGTGTTATCTAACGAAGGCTAGTTGCCATTAACATCACAAATCTGGAGGGCATGGGAAAGTCCTATCCCTACTATTACGTAGCACTCACAGCTCAGCCGCGGTTGCATGCAGAGAGAGGCGAAAATCAAGGGAGTCGAATTGATTTCTCTTTGCCCGCATGTGATGTCGATCGCATCTTGCTTGATCAGACAAATCTATTTACTGTGAAGCCCTGCCAAATTTTCGAGACACATAGAATCAGTCATTGTCTCTTCTGAAAATGTGTATGCAACATCAAATCACCGTACTTTCTGACAAGCTACATTTTTTGCTTGTACCCATGAAGACTAGCGGTAATTAATCTAATCTTGGTAACCAGCTTCGTATAACACTTCCGCGACTAAAAGTCGGAGAGGGTGCAACATTCAAATCGAGTAAATTTGGGTGCTTTAAGATGCACTATCTTAATAGATTTGGTATTTATCCACATAATCTGATTCCCCGCATTTTTGTGAGGTTGTATGGGTTACTCAGGATCTCAAGAGAAGGTTCATGAAAAGACAAGAATACGTTGCGATTGGAAGAAAACTTAATAGGATCCCAGCATAGACTAAACATTTATAAAGCTTGGATAGCTTGGTGCATGACATCAGTTCGCTCGAGGTGATGAGCAACGATGCTGTTAAGTGCCTTGAGCAAAGTATAGAGGGCAGAAGCGGCAAAGTTTGTGGGGTTGACAATACCGTTTGTCCGTTTTAAAAAAATCAGATACGATAAGATTAGCCTCGTGATAGGATCGCGTTCGTGACGAAAATCTGGCAACCTGCTTTTGTCGTGGCCAAAAACTCACGGGACAAAATACATCGTCGAGCCGCCAATAACTTTCCTAAGTTGCAAACAAGTTTCAACAAAACAATTGATAACACTAACGCTGACCGACTTCTCAAGTTTGGTCTTGCAAGCAAATAAGCAACATTTAGAGCAAAAAAAGCGTGACCTTTGATGCTAATCAAAAATACCGGGATGCGGGTCGATAGAAATAGCGCATTAGCAAAGTTTTTTTCATAAACCGACATTATGGTTGGTGAAATGTATATACTGAAAGAACCAGAATAATCGTTATTTATGAAGATTGCAGAACTCCGAACCGTGGTACAAGTAGTCTGCGAGAAATGAATGACAGTTTTGTTGTGAAAGAGGGAAGATGTGTACATTCAGTGCCAGTCTAATAAAATTATTCTGACTGTATGTACTGCTGAAATCGCAGAGCTGACTAGACACCAGGGGCTCTTGGCTTCGCCCTACCAGGAGACCACGAACACATCCTCTGTGCACTTGTTTATTCGAGTTCCGAGAGTCAAAGCGTCCTCTTTGCAGAGCTCCGTTGTACTTGGCAGCACGCGTAGCAATCCCACGACCGAGTCTTAGAAAAAATGTGTTCTCTGCAAGGATGGGACATGACATGTTCGAGTGCCTACGATAGATCAGCTTAACAAGTTTATGTCTAATTCAGGCCCCAATGAGATCAAATTATTGGCAGTTAAAGGGCAAAAAGCGGTAATTGTTCGCCAGGAGGCGCTCGCAAAAAGTGCATAGAGAATGCGCTGGTGAGGCACGACCGGGAGCGCCTTAGCCGAGTGCTGATGGAAAAACAGATATGTCACGTAGCACAGGCGAGGAAACGTTGGCGGAGGAAGGCGAAGTCGTTGGCGCAAG